CCCGCCGAGGAGCCAAGGCTCCTCCACCGGTGGCGCTTCCTCGATCGGCGACTACGCGCCCCGCATGTACACGCCACCCACACCGCCTACTCCGCACGACGACGACAAGGTAAAGCAGCACATTTCCTTTACCTCAAGGTTAACGCCACGATCACACGTTCGCCATGGAGTTTAGTAGATCTCCGTGGATTTTTCATGTATTTCAAAAGGGTTAGAATAAGTGAAAAGAAATTGATGATTGAATTTATCAAATAAAGAATCAAGATGATAACAAACCATGGATCTTCACACAATAATGGAAGATCTAACGTGCAATGATATATGCGAAAATAAATAACATCCAAGAACATATAAAATCCTCGAGGTAAATTTTTCTAATTGTAATAAGCGAAGGAGTCAGCGATACTTTGATTGTAATGTTGTTTAAGTAAAAAATTAGAGTAACAGAATACGAATTTTAGCTATTTATGTAAAATTATTTCGTTCATGTAGAAATGCAGCTAGGAATGCGTAATATTCAAAAATATAATATTAAGAAATCATTGTAATTTTATCGGCAATAAGTTACCGTCGTTTAGGTAAAAATTAGGATAATAGTATTATCGTATTACATTATTACTTGTACTTAGTACTCGTCGGTATGGTCTCGAGAATTAATTATATATTTATATCATTAAGAGGAAACGAAGAATACTCCAAAAGGGAACGAGTTATTGGCCACATCGATTTATTGCAATTTAAATTAATTAGAGAGTGTTAAACGTGTTACACAGTTGAGGAAAATAAAATTTAGATTTTGGAAGAAACTAACACAGTGTTTGGATATATATTTTGCTGGAAAATTACATTTAGATTTGAAAAGAATTAAAAGTATTTCAACTTTAAAAGAAATTCGACAATTTTATATTCGTCGGCTTAACCTCCGATCTATGGCAAATTAAATTAAAAGTTGTCAAACATATTTCAACATTGCATACCAGCTTCTTTTTGTATAACAAGTCTCTTAGCTTGTATAGATATCGTTTTTGTTGAACGCAAATTGGTGCCTACGTTTTCTTAGAACAGCGTACGCAACTTAAACACGTGTTTCTTAGAACAAAACCAGCGACATTCTTAGACGTTCTAACGGATGTTGCATCGAGCCGAAATGTCTAACTTCAAACATTTGCTGTAGGTATGTCGCAATTCGAACTGACAATGAATCGTAAGTATGCTCGAATTCAAAAAACGAGAATCTCTCAAGCGCTTTCGCCATTGAAAATTGACTTCAGCATTCTGTACTCGATTATGGTACTGGACTCTGTAAAATTGACATGATGTTTAAATCTGGAGAAATATACTTGGAGCAATATGTTCTAAAATCATTGTTTCAAAATTATACATACAAAATTGTACGCGTTTCGTTCATAAAATTAGTTAACAATTTAATTCAAATTTAAAGGGAAGATTGAAATTTAAATTTCTCAATCTTGAAATCTCAGATGTCTTATTGGTTTCGGGAAAACAAAACACGTTTTAATTGATCTTTCGATAATTCTTCGCGCACAATTTTCATCCAAAACTCATCATTGATTCACACCGGGACAGCATCCGATTTTTCGCTTGCCAAACCGTCTTGATCCGAAATCGGGTCAGATATTTGAACGCCAATGGCCTCGAAGAGAATCCAGGGATCAGTTCGGTAGCTTCGCTCGATCTTTCGTCCCTCTCGAAATTGATTGAAAATTCTATCCCGTAGCCGATTGAAAATTTCATTCGGCGCACTTCTTCCTCTTCCACGAAGCTCCTCTCGAATTCTGTTCGCGATAAAATTCACTTCTATCTCTGTCTCTGTCTCTCTCTCTTTTTTCGTGGTCGGAGGACAGATGCACTTTACCTCTTTGCTTGTAACCGCGGAGTCCTCCGATTCTGAAATCGAATCGCAAGTTTCGAGCCGACGGCGCTCGACTTGCACTTCTCTTAGGATAGTTAGTTTCCCGCCCAAATCGACTTCACGAGATTCCATCTCGGTGTCCCCATAATTAATTGCATCGTATTATTCGAAGCTCATTCTCGATCGAAACCGATCGCGTCGCCAGATAAATTTTCATGCTCGACGATGTCGAGATGTCGATTATTGTAGTTAAGCGACATCAGATAACTTTTTAGCTGATTGATGTTTTGATGGTTTTGATGGATTAGTCACAGTAGATTTATCTTTCTTTGTCTGTGCTTATCAATGACGTGATGAACAAATGTTTTCGGCAATCTCTATCGTTTTATAACTTTGAGAATTATAGTCCTGCGTCCTTAGAAGTTGATCGTAAATGACGATGATGTTCAGATTCGAGGAAGATGTACGAAATTCTTGCCAGCTCCGAATATTACCTAACTTGAAAATTGATCAAAATTTTTCTTTTTTAGTACAACTAAATAAAATTTTAGCTATGTCATCAAACAAGCGAAAATCTATCTAGAAATTATGGATTTGCAATTTCCAAGCGCAAAGATTTCATAGTTATAAATTTCTACGCTAACGTGTGATCTTGTCTAATCTTTCTTTGCTACCAATTAATTTTCTAGCTTTACCGATCGAACTAAAAATCGACGATCATAGTTTCTTTCTGTTACCAATATTTTCAATGGCAAGGATTAAAATAATGTCGTTGAAAAATCTGGAAAAGTCCCTTAAAACTGCTCTAAAAGCAACGTCTTCGAAATCGAACACGAGAAAGAAAATCCCCGTCGGTGTTGGGTGTCGCGACGATTCCCGGCGATCTTCTCACGAAGTCTCTGCATAAGGGATCCCGAAGGATCAAGGCAGAAGATCCACTGACCCCGGCGATCTTAAAGGCGCATTCATGGCGCGCAATTTTCCAGAAGTGGACGACAATAAGGCGCTGTCACAATAAAGACTCCAGGACACCGTGCAAGGAGAGAAATAATCGGCTGTCCTGAACACAAGAATAAACGATACAATCGAGTCCCGATCTTTCTACTTCTCTTTTCTTTTCTCTCTTGTTACACGCCCCTGTTTTATTTTTCTTCGTTCCATTCGTCTATTTATTCTCTTATTCTTACGCGATTTCGCCTTATATTTTCGGTTCCCTTTCTTAGAGCTTATTGATAAAGTTTATCTTTCGATTTTTATACTTGTTCCACAATTTTATCGGTATTATAACATTTTACCTCGTCTCTATAGCTTCGTCGATACCTTCGTACTCTTTTCTTTCGTTATTTCCCCTTATTCCTATTCTTCTTATCAGCCTAGATTTTTTTTATGTCTCAGTGTTTTAAATTATTCCATTCGCGTGTCTCTTATTTTAATTCACCACCCTTTTCCTGTTTCCCTCAGATTTTGCGAACAGCTTTTCCTAAAACGTGATCTTATATCAACAAAGTAACGAGAGAGAATATCTTCCTGATCTCTGGAAGAATAGAAATAATTTTTATAATTTACCACGATTAATACGGCTAATAATATAAGAATAATCGATTCATAAGGCTCAACGTTACATCAGCGCAACACTACACTAACAATTTTATGGAATTCGAGTCTTTAACATTCAGCTTACAAAAAATCACATTTTCATGGAATCCCAAGAAATTTGAAGTATTTACTCCCCTGATATATAAACTATCTTTTCACGCCATGAAAATTTTTCTGTGTAGTGGGCTTCTACTACGTCGACAGAACAACCTGTAAGTTATTTTATTTACATTTACATTTTACGCATTGTTCCACCGCTTGGGAACTGTAATGGACGGAATGAATGAGGCTGTAACGAATTAATTAAAAACTAATTTTAACGTACCCAACCGCCTTTGATTAACAAATTGATTCATTTTAGCCCCTGCAATTCTTCTTCTTCGCCCCCTAAAAATCCCCTTTCCACCTGGGCTTGCTCAAGGTGAATCCAGAACATCTTGAACAGGGGACAAGGGCGTGTAGAAGTGGGGTGAGAGGGTGACAAGCGAGGGAGGTGGGCTTTCTTCTCGCCGAGTAATTCCATTTGTGCGTCACCGAGATTCTGAAACTTGACCTGTTAAAAAGTCCTTTAACGGAGGTCTCGTGTTCCAACTGCTAGTGGAATGAAGAAAGAGAAAGAAAAGAGGGGTGGTTGCTGGTACGCTCGTCAAGCCTCTACCAAGAGGAAAATTGCCGGAAAAGCCAGACTTTCATTCGTCATTGCGAAATTAGGGGACTCTCTTTCTCCCTCTCTTTCTTTTTCTTTCTCTCTTGTCGCAATCCCTTGAAAATTAATGACGGTCGATCCGCGTGATTAGTGCCTTAGTCGCTTTCACCCTCAAGCTTCTTCGGTTATCGAGGTTTAAAGTTGCCTTCCTGGCTCGATCGCTGCAATTTAGAAACGATTGCATTAAACGAAGAAACCTGTTCCTCTCCATTCGCGTGTTCTTTCCATTTAACCCTCTGATACGTCCTTTGGAAATCACTTTAGAGATAATCGTGCCCTTCAGATTTAGGGAAATACGAAAGCAATCGCGTTTTCTTATGATTAAAGTCAGAGAATCTCCTGGATTTTAAAAAGTTTCAAAACAACCACTTTGTCTTTATGATAAAGAATTTCGTTAGTTTTAGAAAGGTGCAAAAGCAATTCGTAGTTGACAGATTTCTTAAGTTTCAAGAAAATATAGAAGCGATCACGTTCTACTATCCTTTGAAACTCTCTTAAGTTTCAGAAGAACAGAAAAGAATGATTAATTGATTAAATTAATGATTATTACGTTCGTATCGTATAGTGGAATCATTTTTTGTGCTTGTATTTACCAAAAATACAAGCTCGAGGCCACAGTTTCTTTTCCTTTCTGATAGATGTCGAAAAACATGATTATCACAGCCGTTACAACCGACAAAAATATCAATATATAATGTCATTCTTGATTTCAATACTATGTTACTTTATTTCGCGATATCATGCAAAAATATCAAAAAATAATTTCACTTATCGAAACAAGAAATAGCTTTATTGGGACGTGAAGAATTTCAGTTCGTCTCATTTGGTACATTCTCGTTAGATTCATCTCCAAGTAACTCTTATCGATCATCTCTTTCATTCTACGACTTATTAAATGGACAAAATAAGTACTTCGTGCCCTGTTTAGGTTCTTGAGAGTCTCTCGATACAACGAAGCTTATCGATACACTCATGTCGCATAAACTAGAGGAAACTAAACAAAATACTCGTCGAAGATAACTTTTTATCGAAGGGGAATTATTCGTGCAATCTGTCGTGAGATTTTGAAATCGTTAGCGGAGTACATCGAGTACCATTCGTTTACATAATTTTCCATATCGAAGAGTTCGTCAGTTAGAAAAAGAAAGAAACAGATTGTAGCAATCTATGTACAATGGTTCGCGAAAATATTTGGACACTTATCGTGAAAAACATTTATGTACACATTGTACATTACATCGTATCAAGTAGTAACTTTATCTTCCGTTGCAACACTTTCTCGTGAGAAGAATATTTATACGCTATATTTATTCTTATTATATGTATTTTATAATTAGATTATATTTGATCATATATTTCAACCCTCGAGGCTCTTGTGGCTTAGTTTCGTAATTAATTAACTTGTTTTTATCATTTCCAATGATATAGTGAATTCTTTTATAATAACAAATACAGGACACTCTGTTTTATGGAAAATAGCAGCGACTTGCGGCATTATGATTCTTGGCCATCCAATTCGACATTTAGACTCTTTTGCGATCTCTGCGATTTGCGCCAAATATCTTACATGTACATTTTCAGATTTGTCCCAAATTTTACCATAATCGTAACAATCAGGTATGGTTACAGTACTAGAGAAATTTTTAAATGCTTCTTATAGCACAAATTATACGTCGACTACATGAAAGTTTTCTACAAGCGTTCGAGTACTTTTGTGAGCCATCAGTCGCAGCGAACAAATAAACCAATAAAAATAATCGTATAATGGACGAACGAAGTAGGAAATGGCGGTGGAGAAGGATTGGGCACACTCTCAATAATTAAAAAATCGAGTTTCGTCGGCGCGACGACGGCGTCGTTTGTCGTCGGTTTGCACGAGTTTACCGTCGGGAAGCACTTTCGTCGCGCATAAAACTTCCAAATGTTTCTCATCGGGCCGAGCATCGAGCCACGTGCGCGCTCAGGCCATCGAGATTCTCAAATATTTGCGGGAAAATGCTGGGAAAAGAATCGAAGAGCCAACCCAGACTTTTATTAAATTAAACGATTATCCTCGATTAGAACTCTAAACGGCAAATCGTTAACTTTCGTTGCCAGACGCAAGCGTAATTCATCAAATAAAACTGAAAGCTTCTTTTGTGCTTCCTACCATTGAAACTCTCGTAAAATCGTGCGCTTTTTCTTCAATTGCTGTCTGGCGATCGAAAAAACATCACGAAATCGCCTACATTTCGGAGAAATATCAACCTTCCTGTTGACGAACTGGGTCGCTGACGATTTTAACGAAATTCCACGTTTATTTCTTGCAGTAGAAGTTTCGTTATTGAATAAAGATATTTCTACTTTATTAAATAAACGAAGAATGAAAATAGACTTAATAGGTAACTGTATAATCTACTAGAAACGTTGATAAGTGTATATCAAAATTTGTTTTAATTTTCTGAAGGCATAGGAAGATAAAAAGAGTGTAGGATAGTGCAGAAGATACTTTTACATCATTAAATAAATTGAGCATAAAAGTTGACTCGATAAGATACCTGTAGAACGTAGTTGAGTGTATATCAAACTTTTTTTAATTTCTCCGAGAGCCTAGGAAAATAAAAAATGAATATAACGTAGATACTACAAACGTGAAAAAATATGTTTGACTACGAGGATTAATTTTCTTGCGTCATTAAGCGTGAAATTTTGCTTGTTTCCTACCTGTATACTCATCCAACATTGGAGTAAAAAATGAGATTAGATTCTGCATCGTGCAGAGTTATTATTTCGGACTTCCAATTTTCGACAAAGTATTACATTGTCGTTGGAAACGGGTTTCGCAAATGATACACCATGTGGACACTATCATCGACAGGTTCGACGAAAAAAAGAATAGAAGAGTCGAGAGAGAAAGAAAGGAGAGGCGAGAAAAGGAAGAAAAATCGTATAGTACCGATTCAAGGTAATCGCGCGCGATTTTTGCGCAAATTTCACGTCCCCGAACGGTCAAGGAACTTTTTCCATTTGCCCCGCGCAGATTGAATAACTTTCAAACTTCTTTTATCGCTCCCTTTTTTCCCCTCCGAACGATATTGTGGTATCTACCGCGGCATGACAAACTCGGAAATTAATGGTATCTTTTCGCATTTTGCGTCGCCGTTTTTCTCTCTCTTACTTCGAAGAATTTCTCGTATTAGAACTATTAGAATCGCTAAAACAAACAATTCGTAATCTTTTTATATAGAAATTTTATTTGTCTACATGATGATGATACACTTTTGCAAATGTTTGAGTAATCTATTATGTGTATTATTTCCTAATACAAATTTCATACTTTATCACAAAGTGTGATTTTTTAATTAACGTTTTAAATAATGTTGATTTAACCGCGGACTCTGGAGTGCGCAATACGTTAGAAAACACATTATGATACTGTATATCGTATTTGTTATCAGGTATAATCATACATAGTCATATATGAATATTTAATGAGGAACTGTGATCTTAAATTTATTAAATTGAAACTCAGTTCGCGAATGATAGATATTAGAAAGAAATTTTCTTTTTACGATTGGAAAAATGAAAGAAACGAGTCGATTTGTCGGAGAAAATAATCTGCAACGCGATAGGAAAAATCATACGTCCGTCTGTGAAATTCACGCATTGACTTTCATCATGAAGAAGCACGCACAAATCAGCTCATGTGGATTAATGTTTCAAGCCTTGTTGAAATATTGGAAACAAAAGATATGTGCGTGATATAAAACCGAAAAAAGAAAAATAAAATAAAAATGAGAGAAACTTTATTACTATTTCTCTCAAAAATTCCATTGATTTTCATCAGAAGAGCATTCCTTAAAAAATGAAACTTCTTTTCTTACATAATTTCTAAATTAAATAAAATCAAATAATTAATATTCAAAGAAATTATACTCGAAGAGTAAACAAAATATTATTAGTTAAATAATATTATATCTAATAAAATGCAACAGAGTATTTAAATCGAAACGCATTTAAAAAAGTATATCTACTGAGAGTCAGGCATTCGAAGGAGCTCCTTGAGAAAAAGTTGTCTCTCTTGGAACCGAATACAGCCACTTACTTTAAAAACACCCTATACACCTGGGGAAGAAACGATGTAAAAGAATCCAGGCCGCTGACGAAACTCGAGGCGGCCCTCTGCTTCAGCTTTCATTAAGGAATCGTTAGCGCCGTTCTCATCAGCATCCTTTTCCTTCTTCTCCCTTCTCCTTCGACGTTCCATCCCTCCGCTTCATCCACTCTCTATCCCTTTTTTCTTTTCACCCGTTCCTATCGTGGTTCACTTTCCTACAGTTACTCTCATCCTACCGACAGCGTTGTGCATTTTTCTTGGTCCTTTTTCCGACGTGATTTCACCCCGACCTTTACCCACCCTCTAGATAGCGTATCTTGCCTGTTGGCTCTGTTTCTCGTGTAATTTCCTCCATTTTTAGAATATCGGTGCATTTTGTCGAATTTCTTTCTCTTTTTCATCGAACCATC